ACTCGGACTCGCTCTACCAGCGTTGCAACCATGGACCTTGCCGTGCAAGCTGACAGACCTCGGCCAGACGATTACATTTCAAGACGCCGTGGCGGCCGAAGTCCAACACCAGATACAAGCTGCGTGAGCATGCTTCACAGTTAACAGACAAGATCTGACGAGCAAACACTGCCCACTCAAACACAGGCTGAGGCTTTACCCGAGCGCACTCGTACCCACGATGACATACGGCGCGGCAACGTGGATCTTGGCAGAGACACTCCGACAACATCTACGCCGCAATCAACGACGGATGGTCCAAGCGATCATCGGAACTACCCTGCGAACGCGTACCGCTCCGGCGGCAGACAATCACAGCAACCACGACGCAGACAGCGTCTGCCCTGACGACCTCAGCGACCACGACGAATCCATCGACCCCCGTCCAAATCAGAGCAGACCAGCACACAAGAAGGCACCTGTGACGCACACCAGACCCACGAACAGACGATGGACGACGACGACCTGTGGTCTGACTTCATCCGCCGGAGCACGCGCAGAGTTGAGTAGCTCACCAGCAAGCACGACATCCATGACGTAGCACAGATACATCGCACAAAAGCTTGGCATTGGGCCGCGCGCGTTGCAAGCCATCTGCAGAACCGATGGACACACCGAGGAACCCCAGTCTTGACACGACACAATAAGGTCACAGGCAGCATTGGCCAAAGAAAGCGGTGGGACGACGACGTGAGAAAGATTTTGCAGGGGTTGCATACAAACGCCATAGACGAAGCCACGGCAGCGACACCAACGACGCCATCCGTCCACGTCGATACCTCCCCTACGACAGCAACCAGGTGAGATGGTTACCAGCCGCGACCGACACGATGTGGTGGGACTCGCTTGAGAGCGCAAACTCCCCAACACCAACTGTACACATAGCCGATCCTACCCCCCAGCGCCAACACCAATGGCCACCAACACTGGCAGTAACACAACAACACCGACTACACTCAACAGTACCGACTACACCACTGACCACCAACACCGACAGTAACACAACAACACCGACAGCAACACCGACAGCAACGCAACAGTGGCACCAACATGCAGCAACGACTACCGACGACCATCAACAGTAGCTGCAACAACCCCGACCGCACCGATTCGATCCTGACAAAATTCATATACATCATTTGTCACGTCCTCAAATTCTTCCGATTCACACGCGTCTTGTTCCTTGACTACTTTGTGCACTGATTCCAGCAGTATTTCATCAACGATTGTATTCGCACACGATGTGAGGCCACGGCCAGTCGACCTGTGTGCCCGACTCCAGCGCGTTCGCTTCGCTTCTTTCGCATCCAGACAGAGAACATTCCCTTCTCATCCCGTCGATGTCATCCACCTCGTCCTTATTCTCTCCGTCCGCATCCCTTTTCGTTCTCATCTCGCTCTCCCTCCCCCTCCTCCCGCTCCTGACGCAGCGCTCCAAAGCGATCACAATGACCGAACACCTGTCAGAACACCTTCTGAAGGGCCTGACAAAAAACCCTGACCGTTGCCGAGGCCTAGTTACCCATTCCGAGGAAGAGGGAGGACTCACTCTCTCACACACCTCCTCCTCCTCCTCCTCCTCCTCCTCCTCCCCGTCCTCCTCCTCGTCCTCCTCCTCCTCTTCTTCCACCTCTCGGGAAGGCGACGACGACGCCCAACGCCGTCCAGAGCCTCCAGAATCTTGCGGGGCACCAGGTGGCCGTGGTAGCCGCTTTGCGACCCTTTCGGCTCGAAGGGGGAACACCAAACGGGGGGTTAGCGCATCGGGTGACGTCGTCGTCGTCGTCCACGTCGTCGTTGTCGTCCTCGTGGTTGTCGTCGTCCTCGTCGTCGGTCGTCGATCTCCGTCGCCGTCGCTCTCACCGTGGTCGCCGTCGTCGTCGTCGGTCGTCACCCCAACATCGGTTTGCAGACGTTCTGGACGTTCGGCTTCCCCACCGCTTGTGTTATCTTTTCCATACTGTCCTGGGAATCGGCCTTGTATTTGCGCCCGTGTGGATTTTTGATAAGCCTGTTTTCCACCACCACCATGAGTTTGAGGGGGGAAGGAGGTGGAGGACGAGGAGGAGGAGAACGAAAAGGAGGAGGAGGAGGTGGAGGAGGAGGAGGACCCCCTGCCCCTCCAACTTCTGGTGGTGGTGGTGGAAAGCAGGCCCATCAGTTTTCCCTCCCGATCGCACTGGCGCTCGGCAGCAGGTAAAACAGGGCTAGGATCGGGATAAATCGCTCCAGAGCGTTCCAGAGCGCTCTCAGAGCGTTCCCGAACGCTCTGGAGCGGCCGCGGCGCCCAATATATCCTCCAAATCCGCCGATTCTCAGAGATTTCGAGTTATCCCGATCCGGTGTTGTCCCGATCTTCGCGTCGTTTTAGCAGGGCAGCGGCGCGCGGCCGGGGGGGCGCCGCCTGGCCGGCATGCGCGCAGCGTGGCCGGCCGCGGCCCGCGAGGCGCGGCCCGAGGGGCACGCGGGGGGGGGGAGGCGGGGCCGCGCGCGGGTGGCAGCTGCGCTGCCGCTGGAAGGGGCAAGCGGGGAGCCGAGGGTCGACCTCCGTTCCTCCTCCTCCTCCTCCTCGTCCCCTTGCCTCCCCGCCCCCCCCTCCTCCTCCTCCTCCTCCTCCTCCTCCTCCTCCTCCGCCTCCTCATCGTCCTTATCATCCTCCTCCTCCTCCTCCTCTTCCTCCTCCTCCTCCTCCTCCTCCTCAGCATCAGCATCAGCATCATCATCAGCATCAGCATCAGCATCAGCATCATCACCATCACATCATCATCATCATCATCATCATCATCATCATCATCATCATCATCATCATCCTCACCATCCTCATCATCCTCATCATCCTCATCATCCTCATCATCATCATCAGCATCATCTTCATCACCATCATCATCATCATCGACGTCATCATCATCCTCCTCCTCATCATCATCATCATCACCATCATCACCACCATCATCATCAGAAGCATCATCACCACCACCACCACCGCCACCACCATCACCACCCCCCCCCCCCCCCCCCCCCCCACCACACCATCACCACCACCACCATCATCATCATCATCATCACCACCACCACGACCACCACCACCACCACCACCACATCATCATCATCACATCATCATCATCATCATCATCATCATCATCATTGTCATCAGTATCGTCATCAGCATCATCATCAGCATCAAAAGCAGCATCATCATCACTATCATCATCCCCCTCTCCCCCCTCTTCCCCCTCGTCCTCCTCCTCCTCCACCTTTTCCTCCTTCCCCTTCTCCTCGCACTCCTCCACAATTACACGATATGAATACTACTTTCCTCTCTCCCCCCGGTGGCGTCCAGGGGATGTCTGGCCCCCCTCCGCGTACGGTTTTTTACAGAGGATTCCTTGGAGTTGGGTTTTCGCTTGGGATTGTTTTCAAAATGCGGTTTTCGCTGAAGTGCTGGCCTGATGTTCGGGGTACCGTTCGTTCCAAATCGTGCTCCCGCTGCAGCGTTGACCTCATTTCCGCGCTTCCGCTCGTTCCGAATCGTGCTCCCGCTGCAACGCTGGCGTTCTTATTTCCAGCGCAATGCCACGGCATGGTTATCGGCCCGTTTCAATAGGAACCAAACAATACATTGTGCACCCCCCCGGACAAAGAAACAAAAACAAAAAACACACACACACACACAAAAAAAAAAAAACATCGGAAGTGAACACACATTCGGCGTCGATGCTTGGGTGTTTTGGGCCGCGGACCTCCCCCCCCACTTCTGTGGCGTCGCCACGCCATGTTGTGCCAGGCGGCGCGTCTTCATTTCCGCGCTTCCGCGCTGAAGACTGTTTTCAATATGCTGCTCTCGCTGAAGCGCTGGCCTCATTTTCGGACCACCGTTCGTTCCGGATCTCGTTCCCGCTGCAGCGCTGGCCTCGTTCCTGTGATCGTTCCGAAGCGTGGTTCCGCTGCAGCGCTGGCGTCATTATTTCCAACGCCATGCCCCGGCATGGTTTTCGGTCCTTCCAAGTAGGCACCACAATATAAAAGATACCCCCCCGAAGAAACCATCGGAAGTGATTACACATTCGGTGTCGAAACGTGATTCTTCTTGGACGCGGAAACCACCCCACCTTGGGGCGTCGCCACGCCATGTCATGCCAGGCGGCGTGTCCTCATTTCCGCGTTTCCGCGTATGTTGCTGTTCATGATGCTACTCTCGCTGAAGCGCTGGCCTCATTTTCGGGCGACCGTTCGTTCCGAATCGTGTTCCCGCTGAAACGCTGGCCTCATTTCCGCGCTTCCGCTCGTTCCGAAGCGTGCTCCCGCTGCAGCGTTGGCGTTCTTATTTCGAAAGCCATGCCCTGGCATGGTTTTCGGCCCTTTCAAATACGGCCCAAAATCTAAAACATGACCTCCCGAAGAAACCATCGGAAGTGATAGCACATTCGGTGCCGACTCGTGGATTCCTGGTTCGCAAAAGCTCGCCCCCACCTTGGGGCGTCGCAGCGCCATGCTATGTCATGCTACGCGTTGACCTTCGACGCCGCGCCATGCCATGTAATGCTATGCCGTGCAACGACATCCGATTGCGCAAATGAAAAAGGGGGATCGGCGCCATGGTGAGGGATGGGGGGTGGGTAGGACGTCAGTTACGACGCGACCGCGCACCTGGCTTGTCCTTCCCATCCCACCTCTACCCTTCCTCCTCGAGAAGGAAGAGGAGGAGGAGGAAGAGGAGGAGGAGGAGGAGGGGGAGGAGGAGGAAGGGGAGGGCGACGAGGCGGAGGTGGAAGAGAAGGACGAGGCGGCGGAGGAAGAGGAGGAGGAACGCGGACGGGTGCGACCAACCGCCTCCGCAGAGCCCAGCCGCCCCCGCGGGCGAACCGGCTCCTTCAGCGAGGCGAAACGGAGGCCGTGCCCGAGCTGGCCGAAGGGCACGGCGACGAGAACAAGCCTGCGCGGCGACGGGCGAGCAGCCGAACCTGCGCCCAACCGAGAGGTCGAATCGGGATGGGATGGCCCGCGGCCGCGAGGGCGGCCTCCACGGCCGCCAACTCCGCCAAGGTGGCGCCGAGACGCGACGCGACGGCCGCGCGGCCGCGCAGAGCCGCGGCGAGACGCCCGCGCAGCTTCAGGCGCGGTGGCCGACGCGGCGGACGCGCGGGGCCCAGCGGCGGCTCGACGTGTCGCGAGGGGCACCGGGTCCGCCCGCGCGGGCCCCCGAGGCCGCGGCGGCGCAGCGCCGCCGCCAGCTCCGCGACCTCGAACACCTCCATCCCCTCCGACCTCGAGGTTCTCGGGCTCGCTCCTCTGGGCGGGCGGGGCAGGCGGGGCGGCCAAGGCGCGGAACTGCTCGGGCTCGGCCTCGGCGTCGGCCGCGACCGCGTCAGCGGCCGCCCGCGCCAGGAGGGTCTCGCCCTCGTCGTCGACGTCCACGTCAGCCGCAAGCGCGGCGCAGGCCTCGCCGCGGTCGCACCTTGGCGAAGGGTCAAGGGCGGGCGCGGCGGCCAGCGCTTCCTGGAACGCCTGGGCGAAACCCGACAAGCGCTGCCCGCGGTGCCGCGCGATCCGGTCGGGCGCGCGCACCAGCCGCGAAGCCGCGCGCTCCTTCGCCCGGGCACATTGGGCCCGCCGCTCCGCAGCGGAGCGATTGGGCTGGCGGCGCCGCGGTGCCAGGTCGCCAGGGGCAGCGACGGCCATCGCGCGCGAACAGTTCAGGAGCCAACGAACGCGAGGCGGAGGGAAGACGTGGCGAAATTGACCCCCTGGCGCGGGCTCGGCGGGACGAGCGAGGGCTCGACCCGAGCTGGCCCTGGAAGGGGGTGGAAGGGGGGGGGGGGGGGGGAGAAGGGGGAGAAGGGGGGAGGAGGAGAGGGAGGAGAAGGACCAGCGTCAAGACAGGGAAACGCTGGGGATCTATCCAAGTCAGACGGACAGCTTTGCAGAAGCCAACATAGGCCTGCGGGGGGAAAAAAGAAAGAGATCCTTGCGCGGGGCGTAGCCCAGCAAATCCAAATCCTCGATGGGGGGGCCCTCGCTGGAGGGAGGCACCCCCGCTAGGCGCACCCATCGTGCGGAAGGCCGCGCTGGGTTGCCTGAGGGCGCCAGCAAACTCTAAGCGCGACGCCTCGAATTCATGGTTCCTCGGACCGTCGGCCTCGGGCTGACACTCCGCGCGTCGGAAGAGCTCGTCGCCTCGCCCTCGGCCCGATCGGTCGCAGCAGCAGCCGCTCCCCCCACGTCCGCCGCCCCCTCCACCCCCGCCCCCCGCCCGAACCGCAAAAGAGCCCCTCCCAGTCACGCGACAGTCCTTGATGGCCCCGCGCTTGATCAGCGAGCGCAGGCGCTCGCCGTTGATGAGCGCGCTCGGGAGAGAGAGAGAGAGAGAGAGAGAGAGAGAGAGAGAGAGAGAGAGAGAGAGAGAGAGAGAGAGAGAGAGAGAGAGAGAGAGAGAGAGAGAGAGAAAGAGAGCTGGGGCGGAGGCAAGGTCCTGCAGCGGACTTCATGGGGGTCATATGGCGGGCGAAAAGGGAGAGGGCGCAGAACGAGCAGGCTCACTTCTCGAGACTAACGACATGCTCTCACCTCTCTCATGTCTGATAAGGCGCGCCCATGCGTGAAACTGCCGTCGGTCTTCGTCTGAGACAAAAAATGGGATCCGAGCTGGGTCATAATCAGGATGAGTACACGCACCAAGAAATTGTTCATGTGGAAATGGAACGCGCTCCAAGGTATTCTCACATGTCGTTGCACTATCAGTACTCGCTTGGGGTATATCTGAATATCCACCCACAACATCAGAACTACTTGGCCCGCTGAGTGATCGGCCACCATCAGTGCAACACTCATCAGCGCATATAGTATTAGCCTGCACGTTCGTCCGTTCGATCTCCAGGTCAGGCTGGGTTTCGCCGCTGCATTGAATTCCAAGTTCATCAGCTGCACCCCCAGCAGAGCTCAAGAGTGGTTGGCCTCCAGCCTGTCGGGGACGAATGATCAAGCTCGATCCTCGCCAGCAGCATCATTCACTTTTTGCTGGGGCAACTACCCGGTCTTGCGTTCGAGGGGCCCGCGCGGGGCCGACCCGACCGGCCTCTGGGCGCCCGCTTCCGCGAGAATGGCGTCGAAGATCTCGCGTGGCAGAACTCCTGCTGGCCTCGACGTCTGGGCGTGCACCTGAAACTTCACCGCGCCTTTCATCTTGGCGCTGACGCGTTCGCCTCTCGGAGACTTGATCGAGCAGTGTGTGACGTATGAGTGATGTGCTTGACTGGCTTCCCTTTTACGTGAGCCTCCCAGAAGTTGGCCGCGGTCTCGACGGCCGCGCCTCGCGCCGCCTTCCTCGCCGCCGCCGCGACTATAGAAAACGCAATAGCGAAAGGGGGGGCCATCTTTCCTAGGTCGACGGTCTCGTCGGTCTCCTTCTCCTCTTTCAGGCTGGCGACGGCGTCGGTGTAAAACCGGTTCGCCTCGATGCCTGCCCCCGAGAGAAAACGCAGCTCGGGGGCGAGGTGGCCCTCGAGAACGCAGCCTTCAAGGAGGGCCTGCTCGCGCGCCGTGATCAGGGCAAGGCGGGCCGTCAACTCAGCAAGTTCCTCGAGATTATTGTTGGTCTTGCCTCCTCGGCCAAAGGCGGCGCCTTCCTGGGGCCCTGCGCCCTGCGAGCCTCCGCCCGCGTTGGCCTGCATCGGTCTGTCTCCGTCGACGGCCGCCCCCGGTCTCTTCGCGCCGCGAGCCGCCATGGCCCGTGCGGGGCGCTCCTCTCCGAAAAGCTCCACGCCCCAGTCGGCGGACATCTCTGCGAGGCTGGACGCGAGGCTGGTAGGGCAAGCGGGTGCTAGCGTGATCGTTGTAGAGAGACAAGGACGTACAGCTTGACCCGCGTGCCCCACAAATGATAAGGGAGTCAGGCTCAATCAACGGTCTCAGCGTGGAAGCCTTGTTGGCCAAGCATCGCCCGAAGTTAATGGCCCCGTGGCGGTGGTTGCGCGCTTTTTCGGTCCCCAAGTACTTCCCCACATGATGCGCACTGGTTGGTCACCGTCAGGACCTGGGGCAACTTGGACGAGTTGCGGTCCAGGCGCAAGTGGTTGACCAGCCCCTTCCTCGAGGTAAATGCAGCCCCGCACGGTCCAGCCCCATCGGTCCACGAGCGCCTGAAATCCACCGAAACACGTGGAGCACCTGCGTCTAGAGCCTCGGGATCTTCTGGTTCGACGCCAGGGGGGGCAACTTCAACGCCGAGATGCCGACGCCGGAGCACCCGAACGTTAATCTCCACGAAGTCCTGAGACACCTCGCAGCCGGAAAGCCCCAAGATCGATCCTCCCGCTCTGGCCCAGCATGAGGCCGCATCCTCATTCCACTTAATGAGCTCCTCAAGGTCCCCCTGAAACTGCAAGGCGCACGGGTTCGCGTCTACCCCCAGAGACCCATTCGCCGCGCAAACCTCGGCGTGCTCAACAGGGGGGGTCCACAAGCAGCCGCCAACGCCTACTTGTGCGAGCCTGGGCGTCGCGCGCATGCCTGCAGCCATCGCGCGCGACGAACCTGGAGCTCACTAGCAAGAGGAGAGAGGCGCCACCAACTATACACCTCACGAATGGAAATACATCGACGTCGCCCGTCCTCCTCCTCCCAGCTGGCCTCGCCCCCCATGGCTTTTCCGGCAAGACCTCCGACGGCCTGCTCCAAAGTCGGCAACTGAGACGACGTGGGCGCAGAACCTTCTACACCTGCGCGCGCCGCGTTAACCGCGTGGCACAGCAGAGCACCTCTTCTATATGCACGGCGCCCCCTTCTGGAACCAGAGTTGCCCCGTCCTGTAGAGCGCAACTTTCATGGCTTTGATTCTTTTCGCGGGCTCAACGCTGGAACTCAGGGCGGGGGTCAAGAACGGGCCCAGGTACCGCGCCTGCGTCTCCGAGCCCCTTGGGGCCGCAGCAGCGCCTCGCCGAGAGCTCTGGGGGGCTCTGGGGAGCGCCTCCTGTTTATTAGCGTTCCTCTTCGAACCTATCCTGTCGACCTCCAGATCTAGAAATTTGCCATTCTCTCTGGGCCTTCAGGGACCGATCTATGTTGAAGGGGGGCCTACAAACACTTTCTTCAGGAGATCATCCGCGAACTTCTCGGGCCCCAAGTGCACCCGCGGGGCCCCAGGGGTCATGGCCTCGGGGGCCCTGGGCCGCATCAGCTGCTCGCTCTCGGGGTCGGCCCCCCTGCGTCGCTCGAGCCGTTGATCGACAGGCGGCCGAAAGACGCGCGCGAACGATCGGGCCGCGCGCGGCCGGAGAGACCCACGACCAATTCGAACACAGAGGGGACCGTCGGCAGCTGGCAGAATACAGCCGGCCCTCCGAGACGGCATAGGTCAAGGTCTTTGGGCAGCACGAGGGTGCGAGTGGCCTGATCGAGCGCCCCCTAATCCGACGACGCGCAGGCGCTGGTCAGATCTCTATGCGAGTCGGCCCAGGCGTAACCTGCATGCGAGAGGCGCCAACAGAAACACCTGTTAGCCACGATGGCATCCTCCCTGCGACGAGCCCTCGAGATCCCGCGATCGCAGTCGGAGTCGATAAACTTCGGCCCGGTGCGCATCATGCCCTCGAAGAACCCCTTCCCCACAGGATCAAGTCCGCGCACTACTACCCTTTTTCCTTCGGCCCAGGCGCAGCCGCCTTCGGCGGAGCAAAAACTAGCGCTCCACAGCCCTGGGGCGATGTCCGCAGAATATGTTGTGCAACCCCTTTCGACAGTAAGCTCCATCCGTGATCTTGCGGTCAAAACCAAGGACCAGCCTGGGGCACTTCGCCTCTTGAACGCACGCTTAAAGCATCGTTCAGTCTGCTCCATATCAATAACCGCACTGGCCCATGCTTGTTGCATTCGCCCACCGAACTGCTCTGGGGTAGGTGCAGGCCGAGACCACAACTGTTGCATGGCCGTCATATCATCCCAGGATATTCTCGACGCCTGGTATCCACCACTGCATCCTGGCTGAGATAAGTGTGAATCCCACTTCATCACCAGTAGGAAGCACAACCTCAAGTCTGCTGAAATCGCGCCTTCCTTCACCATATCTGCCTCCTGCCAGTCTAAGCGATAGTCGATTCACAATCGCTAGATCACGACTGCGCCATGGGCTCCAATTATCATATGCTAGTTGCTCTCGCTTCCGTTGTTGGTCAGCTTTGAGGAGAGCCTTACACTGCTTGGTTAGTTAGACTGGCAAGTTCATCACAACATGGCTTGCATTCCCCATTCGAAAGACCATCGCCCAGCTTTATCCGAATATCACGCCTCCGAGCCAGTAGGTCTAGCCGTCGTTAAGCCAGCACAGATCGGACATAACCAGCAACTGGGCCCTTTCTTGGATACTGTTGCACCAGCGCCCCGGGCAATCTTATCCAACTTCTCCGACACAATATTGGGATCCGAACACGCATTCTCAATATTTCTCCATTGCTGGCCGGGTTGGGGCCCTACTATTCTCATGAACTGCTCCCTCATCGGGCCTCCACTGATCGCCTGCATCAGGTCGTCGCGATCCCATTGGGCATGCTCCATTTGCCTGCCGTCTGGGGTCATGTCTTCAGCTCGCCGATGCGCAATCGGAACGTGTGGCACTCGAATTTTCACCACAACAGGTGTATGATTCCGTGGCGCAGCACATTTTATCACGTGCGATCTCCTCCCCAGTC